TACAGTAAGAACTTAAGCCTACTAAGAACTGGAACGCTTCTGCAAGAATCAAGTAACCAATCACATTAGTTGTTTCTTAATTCACAATTACTGGAATAGATCTTCTAGTACTTCACTAAGAAGAACGTTATCAAACATATCGAATGAAGTAATATTTTTAAAGCTAATCGATTCGGCCCTTGGACCTGATCCCACTCAAAACCCATTTCCACATTGTAATATTTTTCTTCATTTGCTTGTCTGTCTACCGAGTGACATCATTCCATAACTTTCTTTATTAAAATTTTGTAAAAGAGACAACTAGGAAAACCAAGACATAGGTGGGTGAGTAAATAAGATGGATCTTATAGAAACAGGATGGGATGGTATGGATTGGATTCATGTGTCTCAGGATAGGGACCAGTGGAGGGCTTTTATGAACACAGTAATGAACCTTCGGGTTCCATAAAATGCTGGGAAATTCTTGAGTAGCTGCAGAATTGGTGGATCCTCAAGAAGGGCTCAGCTCCGTAACGTTTCATTTTTGTGTATTAACATATTCCCTTATCACAATATTAATTACTTCATCACCAACAACGAATTATCTTTCCTCTTACAGCGATTAAGAATATTTGGCCTCTATTTTTTCAGAATTAATTTTGAAATATTGAATAGTTTACATGCAAGCCTTTATACGTTTTCTTGGACACAATATCGGTCGATTTTACGCTTGGAATTTTCATGAAACTTCTTCTTTAAATGATCGCTTGCTAATCAGTATTTCCTAGCCTGTGACAGCGTTGTATTAATGAGGAATTCGTCAAACAAAAATATCATTGTCTTCATTCAGGCTAACCCAGAAATTTTACCGAATTTGAAGTCCGTTCTTGTTCGACGGTGGATTTAAATTTTACATGGTCTTTGGTATCCAGGAAGCAGATGGCATGTATTATTGAGTGGGAGGAGGCACGGAAATATCTGACACCAATACCCGGCCAGTTTATTCCGTTTCAGGTCGCCACTGACCACCAGGTTGCTCCACGGTCGCTGTTAAATTTTCAGGTGAATCTTTCAGGGTCAAGTCACAGCTTCGTGTCTCAGATGATTCTGGTCGGCCTCCAAGAGGAAACGAAGGAATGAGGGACACTGTTCTTTTAACGACGTTATATCTATTGTAGAGGTTATGCAGTATCGTGTAAGTTGGGAAGGTTAATATGAATGGAAATTTAAGGAGTTACAAGGATTTCTTGTGGCTGAGTTGCAAATTTAAACAGATGAACGCCAGACAAATTCTTAGGTTATTTAATCATATCACTTCGACTTCGGAAATTATGACCGTCTACATGTTTGTAAAAATGGCTACTTATTAAATACAGAATTATATTGGAAATTGTCCATTAATTCACCAAAATTTAAAATTATTCTTCATTTCAGAAGGGCACACTGTAGCGTAGTTAGTTGAAGCGCTGTGCTACAAACCGGACCGTCGCGGCATTAAGTCCCGATAAAGTGGAGTTTTTCAATTGACCAAATCCTTCCAGCCGCACTATGGCCCTAGGGTAGACTCAGCCCCTAATAGAAATGAGTACCAGGAATATTCTTGGTGGTAAAGGGCTGCCGGCGCGTAAGGCTGACAACCTCACAACCCTATGGTCCTTCACGGCGTTTTACAGGGATAGTTTTTCTTTTTTACCTTCATTTCAGAACCTGTGTATGCTTCCTTCATCAGGTATACAGATCGGAAGGGGCCTGTTCAGTGGTCGAGAATAGGTATGCCTAAGAGGTCAACAGAATATGTCTGTTTATATTCGTATAACCTGTCTGGCATGGGTGGTTCTACCAGGAGCTTACGCTCCCGCCAGCATAGCTGTGCAGGTCAGTGGGACACGCAGACCCTGTCTCCAATACAAGGCGTTAGTCCTTTAGAAAGGGTGGTGTTTTCTTTTGCATTCAGTTATTACGGAATTACAATGCAATACGTTTGTATCTCTTTGCAGTTACAGTGTTCAGCTCTTGAGCGTCTAAAAGGAGTTCTAAAATATGTAAAAAAAACCTGCGTGGCTTGAGTCCGCAAGCGAACTATACCGACCGAGCGACCGCCGCTTCTCGGTCAACTTAATGACAACTTTAGCGGATACAGGGTGTCGCGTGGTCAGCGCAACGAATCTCACGGCCATTAATTTCGGTTTTCTAAACCGGTCCTTAAAATAGCTCCTCAATTATCCTCACGAGGCTGAGTGGACCCCGTTCCAGACCCACTACTTCTCAGAAAATCTGGCAGCGCCGGGATCTATAACCTCTGGATCTGTAACCAGGAACTCTGACCACTAGACCACAGAGGCGGTACTTTTGAGATACTATACTTCTCAAATTTAAATTTGCCCAATCAGGCTCGATACCACTTGAATTACTCTCACATTACTGTATCACATTGCTCCCTGGCATCAGTACAGAGTTCGAAACATTTAACAAACAGAAGATTTTCCAGATGTTCTTGTCAAGTTTAACTTACATGGCTTAATGATATTCAATGGGCACCCATACTAGTGACGTCATTAGTGATTCATTACGCCGCGCGACGCGGCACCGTCATAATAATGAAGATGAAGAAGTGTCGGTCTGCCGGCGTCCTCCCTCTTATCCTGATTGCTTCAGGGAATCTAATTGAAGAGGCGGAGGCCAACAGTTTGGTACTCGTTAAAATTCAGAACGCAGCTTCGGCTGGATATGTGTGTGTGGGGGGTGGTGCTAGAGGACTCCAGGGGTTTCGGTCGAATGCAGAACTCTATAACCCAGCCTGTCTCTTTCTGTTCCCCCACCCCCTGATCATCGAATGCAATGGCTCGCCAGTCGGAGATGTTTGAACGCAAGAGGGACGTCAATGTTTTATATATTGCTAGTGGGTTGGGACTAAGTCCCTTGTACTGCGGCCACTTCTGGCCTATTATACCAGCCCCAGATGATAGGTGAGGGTGATTGTCGAGCAATTGGTGGAATGAAGATTGTCAGTGGAAACCGAAGTACTAGGAGAAAACCTGCCTCAGCGCCACTTTGTCCACAATAAATCCCACTTGACAAGACCCAGGATCGAACCCGGGCCGCCGCGATGGGAAGGCAGCAACTAACCGCTTGAGCTATGGCACGGCCGGGACGTCAATAAGTCAAGGGAAGAAAATTTCCATATTTTAGTTCCAATATTTACACATACATACATAAGCTACGTATATATATACATATAGGGCAAACATCGTTTTAAGAAATAAATAATTTGTAAAATTCGTGTAACATTAATTAATCCAATCACTATGAGATTGCTGATATAACCATAAGCATTGGAAAGCTGCATATGCATGGCAAATTGAACAAAAACCCAAGGGAAAGGTAAACTTTGATGGTATTGTTAAATTTGAAATGTATTTTAGAGACATAATGTGCACGCCCGCCTCTGTTGTCTAGTAGTCACAGTTGTCAGTCAATTTGTAGAACAGTACCACAACGTTGTGAGATGTGCAGTGAATTCATTTAGAACAGTATAGTATGCCTACTGTTGTACTGATATTAATTTATGTATATAATTGTAATTGTAATTTTATTTGCATTCTATTCATTGTGTGTAGTGTGTCCTTTATTGTTTGTGTAGTTTTGTGTACTGTGTTTTGTTTGAGTGTGGTGTGTTATTTTGTGTGATGTGTGTTATTTGTGTGCTGTATCTCATTAAAGTAGTACNGGTTTATGTTTTGTCTGATATAAAACTGCTGCATTTTGTTGAGTCTTTTATCCGGAGATAAGGCCAAGTTCTGTCAGTTGGAAAGATCTGAATCTCATGATTGAGACAGAGTTCAGTACCAGAAAATTTGTTTTAAATAAAAGAAAACAAGAACTTGTATAATGTTAGGGTCACGCGATAGCGTAGTTGGTTAAGGCACTATGCTACAAGCCGGAAGGTCACGGATGGAATTTCGATGAGGTGGATTTTCTTCAATTGACCTAATCCTTCCAGCCGCACTATGTCCCTGGGGTCGACCCAGCCTCTAACAGAAATGAGTACCAGGAATATTCCTGGGAAGGGGGGAGGGGGGTGTAAAGATCGGTGAGCGAGTAAGACTGACAACTTGACAGCCATCTGTGAGCCGATTGTCTAGAAAATGTGGGAGCCTCGACGTCTCATAACCCTATTGGCCTCCACGACCTGTTACAGGGATAGCTTTACCTTTTTTTTTTACTTTACTTAGATAATTTTCAAAACGCCGGTAATAGTATTAACATAACATTATCACGAATTTTGAAATGTGTTCAGTGAGGACTTTTTGGATCGTATCACGAAACTTCAGATTGCTTTAAAATTAATGCAAATTAAAGCGGCAGACAGAATTTAAAAATATACGAAAATCTTTTCAGTAAAAAGATCAAGGGACGCTCTGCTTTTCTTCTGAGTCTTGTTTGACGTGAATGATTGATGGTACCCGAAGTCTTTGGTCTTGTCAAACCCAAGCTAAAGTATTTCGCGGTTATGCAAGATCCTGTTACTCTCCACATTATCACAGACCGTCTGAAGGCAGACAAAATATGGAAGCAGACCGCCTCTCCAGTAAGCTCCTGGAGCTGAAGTGAAGCGACTACCAATCACAAGGCGCCGCGTCTCTCCTTGAAACATTTCAGATCCTTGTCAACGTATCAACATCCTATTCTTTCCGGCTCATTCGAATTTATATGACTTCTGCAGTTGAAGTACGTTCGATACATAAACCAAGAACCAGAAAGCCTATTATTGTCTGGTAATACAGTGAGATTGTGATGGGTTTGACATGTAGCTGAAAGTATTTATATTGTTACGATTTGGGGATGCGACAATAGCTCGGTATGGATGGGTGAATGGATTTATTCACCGCTTATACATACACCACTCATAATTACAAGTAATTACAGTGCTATCGCTAATCTTCACAGCACCAGTTGAGTCTTCTTATACTTGAGAAAGCATATTAACATTAATTGTGAGTATAATCAGACGTATAACTTACCTCGCCTGGAAACGCGTAACCGTGAATTTTGTGCTCTGACCCACGGTGATTCTCCGTTCCGTAGTGTATATATATCTCTTCGAACTGGTAGCGATAGGTTAGTGGGCCTCCTGAAATGTTGACGTGATGTTTGGTGTCCTTGTCCACTCTGAATACAAGGGTCTGTCCCGTATTGTGCAGTGTCCCGCTCACCTAAAACAAGAGCACCATCCTCTGTTATTGAGAGTCCCAACACAAACAAAACAAACTCCGTGGCCTGTACTCCGCAAGCGAACTATACCGACCGAGCGACCGCAGCTTGCCGGCGAAGTTAGTGCCAACTTTAGTGTATAGAGTGTGTCGCGTGGTCAGCGCAACGGATCCCCAAGGCCGTAAATCTCGGTTTTCTAGACCGGAGCCGCTATTTCCTTAAAATATCTCCTCAGTTATCATCACGAGGCTGAGTGGATCCCGTTCCAGACCCACTACTTCTCAGAAAATCTGGTGGCGTCGGGAATCGAACTAATGATCTCTGGGTCTGTAGCCAGGAACTCTGACTACTAGACCACAGAGGCGGTCGGTCCCAACACAAAGGGACGTAAATATATCTTAATGCGTTCTTAGTATGAAATGTATGAAGTGTATGCCTTATGTGGATGTTGTGTATGTGATGTTTCGTTATCCTAACCCATGAATGAAATTAGGTTACCTCTTGGAAAATGATATTTTGAAGACCGAAACATAGGTAGGCTGATCGATTTATATGTGATTTAATGACACCGTGTAAATTCTTTAGATTATTTTGGGCCGAATGTTGTGAAAGCATAATTCAGAGGCTTGAGAGGAAGTTGTCGTATGACTTCATAATTCGAATTTTAATGCAGTGGTTTAGTAGGCTGGGTAAACCCATAAAAGTCATAGGATAGTCAGTTCCACGAACGAGACCCGAAACTATACTCCCGAATTTGATGAGTTAATTAAATAAGGAATGAAGACAGAGTCAAATATGAGCAGAATTTCACCTTTAAAACGTGAAATAAGTTAGAAAAATGCAGTTGAAGTAGAGGCCAAGTTTGCTCGGGGACGTACATACAAATTTTCAATGAAAAACTCTTTGAAAGCAATTAGAGAAATACAGAAGAAGAGAATGTGGGATAATATTAAAATGTATCTTAGGGAAAAAGAATATGGGGATGTAAACTAGATTTGGTTCGGGAACAAATGGCATGGAGGAAATCTTGTGTGCACACGGATGAATTTTCGGATTCTGTAAAGACAGAGAATATAAGGGAAATTGATTAATTATCAGTTATTCCGGGAAAAATTTTGTGTCATTGGGTTGGCCATAACTGAGGAACACCGTGGTCAGAATACACGACCTCCTGGCCCCGATTTGAACCTCAGGTTTTCCAAAAGATGGCAGCTCTCATATCGCTTTAGTCAACATTGTCTCTCAGGAAAAGTTAACTTGTATATTTCCACGAGGGTCTGCTGGTTATCTGAAGTATATTTGATCTCATTTAGCAACTTTTTGTGTTGTGAGTCATTTTTAGGAATATGGGTTTAATTTTCATGTTAAGTAAGATTTATTTAATCGAATTGGGCAAGAATAAAACTGACCAATGGAGACCGCCTAGTGTCAAATTTAATCGAATTTAATTTAAGCAGTTTTAGAAATAAACATAGATTGAGGATGTTTGAGAACAGAGTGTTGAGAATATTTGGACCGAAGAGAGATGAAATGACAGAAGGTTGGAGAAAACTGCATAATGAGGAGCTTCATAACTTGTACTCTTCTCCAAGTATAATTAGAATGATCAAGTCAAGAAGGATTAAATGGGTAGGGCATGTAGCACGAATGGGGAGAAGAGAAATGTATATAGGTTATTTTTTGGAAAGTCAGAAGAAAAGAGACCACTGGGAAGACTAAGACGTAGGTGGGTGGACAATATTAAAATGGATCTTAGTGCGATAGAATGAGTTGGTGTCTTTTGGATTGATCTGGCTGAGGATAGAGACCAGTAGAGGGCTCTTGTGAAGACGATAACGAACCTTCGGGTTCCATAAAATTCTGGGGAATTCTTGAATAGCTGCAGAATTTGCGGCTTCTCAAGAAGGGCTCAGTTCCATGAGTAAGTAAGAAAGTAAATAAGACGTGAAGGAGGTCCGCCCCATAGCTCAAGCGGTTAGTCGCGGCGGCCCGGGTTCGATCCCGAGTCTGGTCAAGTGGGATTTGTGGTGGACAAAGTGACGCTGGGGAAGGTTTTCTCCGAGTACTTCGGTTTCCCCTGCCAATCTTCATTCCAGCAATTGCTCCACAATCGCCCTCACCTATTATCTGGGGCTGGTAAAATAGGCCAGAAGTGGCCGGAGTACAAGGGACTTAGTCCCACCCCACTAGCAAAGAAAGAGCAAGCCTAATAACAGACTCATGTGTTATAAACTTTAACATTCCCATTGGTCTGTTACAGTTCTGGTGTTGACCCTGAAGGACCAGAGACCATATCCAGGTTACCCTGCAACTCTTGCGAGGTTCGACGTCAGTGCTGCCACATCAGAGAGCAGGACAGCCACCATTCCGCAGAGTGACGAGAACATTGGAACATGAACAGCACAAACTGACGGAAAAATATGGAACGTGGAATGCGACTTTGAAATCGTGGATATTTAAAACGTGTTTATTCACTTGCTTATTTCTAATAACTTTAACAGCGCGTGTTTAGTGAGCCGATCTATTACTGTGTGTTAGTGAGTACGTGAACTAAAGTTCTTTAAGTTGCAGTGAGCGGTTTAAACGACTTCATGGAACTACGCCCTTTGGTGTAGTGAAGATTATGTTAGAAATTCGCATCGAAACATTCCGTTGTGGATATATTTTGGTTATAATATTAAAACAATTAACATTTATGGTTTTGCTGTAGGAATATTAACGTAGAATATATGGTGAAAGTGTTAAAATTGGCGTGATATTTTTACGGCCAGAAAACTGCACTGGTTGCGAATATTCCCAGAATTTCTTACTTTTATTAATTTTTGTTGTTGTTTATAACAAGGAGGAAATTTACTGGGATCGGTTTGGTTTTCTTCAAGAACTTTTCAGTGAAGTGTTTGTACTGGGCCAAGCTGGACATAGTCAACGTTTCAGTGTATACAGCGGTATCTGCTGTGGAGGCAGGACTTCGATCCTGTGATGGACAGCAGGGTCGGCCCGCAAACGGTGAGTAGAACGAATTACTCCTAAAGAATTTTTAAAGATAGTAGGGACTATCTTACATAAGATCTATCCAGTAAGCTATTTCTTTGCATACTCATATATATATACTCATGTACGAGTATATAGGCTTACATAAAAAGGCAAAGCTATCCCTGTAGCAGGCCGTGGAGGCCTATGTGATTGTGAGACGTCGAGGCTCCCACATTATCTAGACAATCGATTCAGATGGCGGTTAGGTTGTCAGCCTTACGCGACGGCTGAACTTTACTGCCAGGAATATTCTTGGTACTCATTTCTGTTAGAGGCTGTGTCGACCCCAGGGCCATAGTGCGGCTGGAAGGATTAGGGCAATTGAAAATTCCAATGACCTCATCGGTAATCGAACCTGCGACCTTTCGGCTTGTAGCATAATGCTTCAACAAAATACGCTACCCCATGCCTTACTTTATGAAAATATAAATTCTTTTAATGTAGCAATTTTAAAATATTTGTGGCCGCGTCTCATGTCATATGCTCAAATTTACTGCGCACATATAATATGGCGTTCCCACACTTTTTCTATTGAAACGTGTATTTTTCGAATAATTACATAGGCGGAAGCGCTCTGTTCGAAACTGCGCTACGTTGAGAATAGAAATGCAGATTATTCGATTGTTTTAACGGAGAAAAGCGCAAAGCAAAGGAAGAAAAGGGCAAAGGATAAATACAACGAAAGAAAATATTCCCCGCGGAATTTTATGCATCCTTTCCACCGGAATGTTATAGGCCTATATACTTTCATGCGGTGATAATATTAAAAATAACCTGTTTTATGATATAGAAGAGACATAGAATACATAAAAGGTGATAATTGCCTATTTAATAAGAAAAATAAACGTGGGTGTCACAAACGTTGTCTAACTTCCTACCCTTCCATTAAAAACGAAGTTTAATTGTTGGAATTTAATTGGAGAATTTTAGCGATGTTATAATTAATTTCCCGTTCAGTTTAATGGTCATATATTTCAGTAGTGAATGCTCTTTCCCTTAATGCCGAATGCCGTTATTTTAGCTTAAAATTTTAATCTTTTTCCACAAAGAAGAAACGGTTTCTTACGGAACCCATCTCCGGGCCGTCGATGTGCTCGGTGTGGCTCCCGGGTAGATTGTACGAACCACAGACTAAATGTTTTTTTCTGCAATGAAGTCCTGTCACCGATCACCTATGTTAATATGCCTGCTTTCCAGTGGAGACTTTATTGGGTACAGTCACCTTTCGAAATTCTGAATAAGTAGAATGATCAAGTCAAGGAGGATGAGGTGGGCAGGGCATGTAGGTCGAATGGAGAACAGCAATGCATATGGGATATTAGTGGGAAAGCCAGAAGGAAAGAGACCACTGGGAAGACCAAGGCGTACGTGGGTGGACAATATTAAAATTAATCTTAGAGAGATAGGATGGGATGGTATGGATTGGATTGGTTTGGCTCAGGATAGGGACCATTAGAGGGTTCATGTGAACAAGGTAATGAACCTTCTGGTTCCATAAAATGCTGGGAAATTCTTATAAATATACAAACTTCTTCTGTACTGATCTTTAGATACTGGGAAGTTATTTTTATTGAAGTTCTACCATCGTAAAAACGAAATAAAAATCGGAAGGGCATTCAACCCCCTTGGACCCTGGCCTCTGATTTTCATTTTCATGATCATTCTACAGACGGTAGGACTCCTTGGACGAGTGATCAGCTCGTCGCAGAGCCTCTACTTGAGCGAAGGACAACATAGAGACAGAACAAACACATACACATAACAAATATCCATGCCTTGTATGGGATTTGAACCCACGATCCCGGCTTCCGGGCGAACGAAGACAGTACTTGCCTTAGACCGCTCGGCTACCGTGACCGGCATTTTAAATTGTTTACTGATTCTAGAAATTTTGATGCCAACAATTGCTACTATCCGTTTTTTTTTAACGTTTGCTGGATTCGGCTCGCCTGTACTGAAAGAGATTCGATTTTTCAATTGACTTAATCCTTCCAGCCGCACTGTGGCTCTTGAGTCGACTCAGCCTCTAACAGAAATGAGTACCAGGAATATTCCTGGGTTAAAGGGCAGCCGGCGCGTAAGGCTGGTGACCTCACCATTATCTGTTAGCCGATTGTCTAGAAAATATGAGAGCCTCGACGTCTCACAACCTTATGGGCCTCCACGGTCTGTTACAGGGTTAATTTTACCCTTTTCTTTTATACTGAAGGCGTCTGATTCTTTTCACGCTTTCTAGGGTTTATTTATGTGGCCTATTCTTCTGCACGTTACTGTGATTTTAATGATATTTTGAAAAAAGCGGCGGTTTGTGTTGCACTAGAAACGGAAACTAAAGACCGAGTGATTCGTCATCAGACAATCTGGCTATCAGCTATGCCAATGATGAGCTGAAAACGAAAGCTTCGTCGATCTTATTCGTCTCCATAATCAGGTCGACTTCATGAAACTGATCACTCGTGAAGATTTTAATGCATTAATTTACCATGAAATCTTCAGGTGTTAGATATGTCCTATACTTTTTATTGCCATTTGTTTTTATCTATATTATGCAGAACCCGATTAAACTATTTTGAGATTCGCTTCTGATTTCAGCATTCGCCAATTTTCCATGTTTATTTAAAAGATAAACTGCATTTCCTTCCCGAAAGAAACTCGGTGTAACCGTGGCACCCTGCAAGAAACCAAACATTACTGCTTGTATATTTTACCGAAATTTAGTTTCACCTACCGTGGATGCGCAGTTATGTCTGACTATAGATTCAATTTAAGTTGTTGCCATCTCTTGGATGTCACAGAAGAGTTTGATTTTATCTCTGCAAGATGAAATGTAGGATTTATGGTGCATACATTTCTTTTGGTGGGGGGGGGGGCTGTTTATCTAATTTGTAGGTTGCATTTCGATTTATACATAGTGTGATGTGTGTGGCGCAACAGGAACCATGGGTCACGTGACCTCTGCGGACTCGCGATTGACGTCACATACCCCCACTCCTTCCATCATTACGCAACGCTCGGCAACAGATATCAGGTATTGTTGTCAGGTGTGTCTACCTACCCATTGCCTAGCAATAGCCGCTGCACGGACTCGCCTGTTGCGTGACGTCACAGCCTCGCGCGGAGGGATGTTTACCGTTCGTTGCGTAATAATGGGAGGAGTGGGGGTACGTGACGTCACTCGTGAAAACGCAGAGTTCACGTGACCCCTACTTCCTGTTGCGCTATCCAGGTCACAATATTGATTTATTACTGAACATCCTATTTTTGGTAGGCCACACCATATTTTCGTATTTCATTTTTGACGAGACAGTTTTCTGGAAATTTCAGTAAGAATTTAATTACTTTCATATAATTTATTTTCAGTGGGGTACATGCCGTATCTAATCTAATGATTGTCTTCAATTCCAATTTATTTCCACAGTCCTAGACTGTTTTTCCTGCCACATGGTCAGAATTCTCCAAATTGTGAGTGGTTTTAGTTGAATGAAATTGTGCTGAAGAGGTGGAGGGGACAAGTAAATGACTTGTCTGCTCTGCAGCTTGCATTCATCCAATTACGCGGAGCGCCATCTTGAAGCCGTTAATGAGGTACTGACCAAGTTACTATAGGGTAAATTTGTTTTTCTGCTTGAATCCAACTGTATAGCTGTTCCGAATTTAAAGTATGGTGACAATATGGCTGGAAGTCAGAATAGCGGAGCCACGAGAAACGACTGTTGCTGGGTAACGGCCCAAAAACAACTGTCCGCAAAAAACAATAGGACTCTGGAATACGGTGCCAGGACACCAAGGTCTTAGTAATAAATGCTTCAGACACCTTCCCAAAAGGCCACTTGTACATTTGACACATTTATTTGATCACTAGACCGCCTCTGTGGTGTAGTGGTCAGAGTTCCTGGCTACAGATCCAGAGGTCCCGGGTTTGATTCCCAGCTCTATCGGATTTTTTGAGAAGTAGTGGGTTTTGAACGGGGTTCACTCAGCCTCGTGAGGATAATTGAGGAGCTATTTCCAGGAAATAACGACTCCGGTCTAGAAAATCGAAATTAACGGCCCGTGGGGATCTGTTACGCTGACCGCGCGACAACCTCTATCCACAAAAGTTGGCACTAATTTCTCCGAGAAGCGGCGGTCGCTCGGTCGGTATAGTTCGCTTGCAGATTACAGGCCCCGGGTTTGTTTTTTGTCTTATTTTATTTATGATTTTGTTGTGAGATGTGTTTAACGATTAGTAATATTTACCAAGGTTTGATATGTATATTAATGAAACGATCTCTGAAAAATTGAATATCATAATAAATGCAGTTTTACCGAATGGTTTTATCAGAACATCCGGCGCCCCAATAACAAATTATTCGTGAAACCAGGAAGGGAGAATTTTGGAAAATACTGGTCTGGGGGGACATTAATGACCTTTTCCACGTATTTCTCAAACCTTCAGCAGGTTTCATTGAAGTTCTACAAAGAAGACATTCACTAATTTGCTTTTAATTATCCTCGTGTTAACTGCGTTCAGTAAACTTCAAAGAATTCTGTGTACCACATTTCTATGTAGGCTACACCCGTTCCAGTCTTCCTTGTTCTTCTTTACTAATTAGGGCACTTTGACATAAAACTTTCTGAACTGAGCGGTAGAAAATATTTCCAGAAATTAACCTTCTCCAATTTGTATGTTACCTATGAGCTGTTTTATTATTGACCTTCCAAATGCGCACAAATTGCCACAAATTTCCACTGGGAAGACCAAGGCGCAAGTGGGTGGACAATATTAAAATGGATCTTAGAGAGATAGGATGGGGTGGTATAAATTGGATTGTTCTGGCTCAGGATAGGGATCATTGGAGGGCTCTTGTGAACACGGCAATGAATCATCGGGTTCCATAATATGCTGAGAAATTCTTGAGTAGCTGCAGAATTTGCGGCTTCTCAAGAAGGGCTCAGCTCCATGAGTAAGTAATCTATACAGGATGTCCGAATGAAAGATATCCAAAAATAAAAATCATTATATCTCAGAAAGAATTTATTATACACATTTGTGGATTACACCATCACAAAGGGAAATTATCAAAGTATTTTTCTGAGTATATAACTTTCTCAATAAATTTCAGTGTGGGCTCCCTTGGTGGCACGACAAATGTCCAGGCTTGAAGCATGTTTGGTGTTACCATAGCCACAGCGTCCCTTATGCGGGCTTTCAGGTGTTGAAGTTCGTTGCTCTTAACCTGGTAGACAATGTTCTTCACATAACCTCACAAGAAAAAATCCACTGGGGTTAAATCTGGCCACCTAGGAGGCCAAGCAGTTGGTCCATCTCTGCCAATTCATCTCCCAACCATCTCTCTGTCCAGCTGATTCCTAACATGGTGGCAGAAATGTGGCTGCGCTTGCGCATAAGCCGGGTATGGAAAAAAAATCTTAGATGNTACTTAGAGCACGATGTTTTCCACAACTTGTATGTGAGGCATATTTGTTTCCTATTAAAATAGTATTCCCATAACTTCGTGCTTGGAACATTTTGATAGATTACAGACCGTTACCGCTTCCCGGGCGATTGGGATCTTTTTTAAATTCATGGCAGTGTCGTGATCAATAAACCAGGAAAAAATCCCCCATTGATGCATCAATGAGTGAGGCATGGTTGCCGCCAATATGTCATCACTGACATGAAGTAATGCATCAAGGCTTCACGCCTCCTCCCCTTTGTGTGTGTGGAGAAGTTACGTATAACTAAGCGACCACGAAAATGATGATGGTTTCCATATATATCCGTGTCGCTCGCCTCGCGACTTGCATTCGGGACGGCCGGATGAGCGAGTGAAGTGAGAATGCATATGTGAATTAATTCGTGTATTCCCGAGTTTTTGACAGCTTCAGCTGCGGGCGGTGATTGAGTGAGTGATGGATGGGTCTGCTGCACTCGATAATAAATATACGAGATGTGAACCCCCCCCCCCCCCGCGAGGACAGTAGACCAGAGTCAGTACCACTCAGTGTGAGAGAACGGTGTTTTGGAGTGTTTTGTTGTGTAAAGAGTTCCGAACCCATTCTGTTCTCTTTCCGACAAATTAACATTACGAAGTATAAGGTAGGTCGCACACCGGCATGCATCAAAATATGTAACAATCGAGACACGATGTCTGCAACATGACGCAAAGAAAGGAGCGCAGTTGAAACGAATGAGGTTATGAAGACCGCCGCACGAGGCGTGCGTCAAGACATGTAACAGTCAACACACGATGTCTGCGACATGACGCAAAGAAAGGAGCACAGTTGAAACGAATGAAATTATGAAAACCGCCGCACAGAAGCGTGCGTCAAGACATGTAACAGTCAGGACACGATATCTGCAACATGACGCAAAGAAAGGAGCACAGTTTAAACGAATGAGATTATGAAAATCGCCGAACACCGGTCTGAGTCATGATGCTGACGTCAGCTTCATGCTGATGAATCACGAATGAACCGAGACTGCGTCTTTTGCCTCATGTCTTGATGCTTGTCTTGACGCAGTTGGTGTGCGGCCGCCTTAAGATTTGTGCTGTTGGAGTACCCTAGATGTCAAGTTACAGGATACAAATAGGATCACTGGGGTTAGATTCCCACAGGGGATAAGCTCTCCCCGTTTGCCGCTATTGTTTCCAGATAAAGTGACGTGTCCATTCGTTCTCTTAGGGTGTCATGTCCGCTCTGGCGTGAGTAACGTGAATCTCATCATTCAACTCTGCATATTTCAGAGACCTAGAATGCATGGAGTGTTATCTCCAGGTCTACTATACCTGTCACCCCGTGGTCACAGTAGATCTGCTTTTCAATTGTTATTTATTTTGCTAATACCGTTCATACCGACTGATCGACAGCCGCTTGTCAGCGAATTTAGTGCCAACTTTTGCCTATAGAGGATGTCGCGTGGTCAGCGCAAAGAATCCATACGGCCGTTAATTTCGGTTTTCTAGACCGGAGCCGCTATTTCCTTGAAATAGCTCCTCAGTTATCTTCTCGAGGCTGAGTGAACCCTGTTCCAGACACACTACTTCTCAGGAAAAAAACCTGGTAGCGCCGGGAATCGAAACCGGACCTCTGGATCTGTAGCCAGAACTCAGACCACTACACCACAGAGGCAGTCTGTATAGTTCGCTTGCGGACTAAAACCACGGAGTTTTTTTAATACCGTTCATAATGACACAGCTTCTCAGATGTCACATCTGCCGAGATTTAATTATAGGAAAAAGGATATTATGGAGTGTAGATCCATTGCTACGCAACGACTCGGTAAACATACTCCCATGGTAGCCAATACACCTCTCTTAAGTCCATATTGCTGGAATTTTGCATTGTTTTTTGGAAAAGAAACAAGACTGTTTTTAGATAAAGCAAAACGATGGATAATGTCCAGAAACAAACATTTGTACTGTCATATTTCACTAGCAAAAATGACAAAACATATTTGACAAAAGAATTGAATCTTAAGGGAGAAAATTTTCATAACCACAACTATGAGAAAAGCTAATCCTACATGTCTGACAAAACCAAGAAACAAGCATTCATTTGGTTTGTGACCGGTAGGGACTGTTGTCTAAAGGAAGATTACCTGACGATTGCTGTGAGATTTTGTTTCTACAGTCCATTCGCGGAGACGAGAGAGTCCTCGTAAACAAATGCACGCGGTATCTCCTTCGCTCTTTGAATGAAATCATGCAGCGATCACGTGATGCGTGTATCATTGCAAGGGCGTCCAAAGTTCACTCTTCAGTCTGAATGCAGTGAGTACACTGAGTAACTGCGCGCTTTGTCCACTCCTTGCTGTCAGCTGTGGCGACTCGGGGCTTGCTTTGTTTACGCTGTCTCGTCTCCGCGAATGGACTATAGGTAACCGTGGAATATCAGTTTCTTTACAGAAACATATGTAAGCTAAAATTAATTGCCCCGAAGAGAGACCAGTATTTCATCGACATGGGCTTAGTGCATTTGGACAGGGGACCGATGGACGTAAATCCTCACCTTGTGTTTGTCGAGGTGCACAGGCCGAAGGTACGGGTCGTACAGTAGTTTTTCAGGATCCACATCAATAGGGGATTGTCTGCGACCCTTTGTGCACAGAGGCCATTGTGGATTGATGAGTCCCCAGAATGCAGGACCTGCAACATGAAGACTTTTCTTACTATTGCCTGGGAGCCTGGATAGCTCAGTCGGTATAGCGACTGCCTACTAGCTGGACGATTGAGGGGTCGGAGTTCGACTCCCGTTTGGGTCAAGAATTTTGGATGGAATCATCCATCCAAGCTGTGGGGTCCAACCAACCTCCTATACAATGGGTACCGGGGGCTCCTTCCCGGGAGTAAAGCGAAGTCAAGAAAATGTGGATGTCTACATCCACTCCCCCATACGTCTTCATGGTATAGTGCTTAATTAGTTAAGCACAGGGATAACTTTACCTTTATTATTGCCTTCTCAAAAGCTGTGACATGTGTACCTTGCAGTAGATTCAGGTGACTGATAAGCTTCACGCTTCCGCTGCTTTACCTCTGATGAAAGAGGTTGTCTGGAAATGGGGCGGAGAGAACAAGTCCCTAACACAACCAAAAACAGATCGCTCTATTCCGTCAGTTGAGTCCCAGCGAAATGTTTTCATGAAGCGTGTCCTAATTTGCTTCCCATAATTACGGACAAAATCAAGGGCTGCAATGTACCACATATGAGTGAAACAAGACATTTATACAGAATCGTCATAATAGAATATTTTGGAAATCACCGTTAGGGACGCATGGTATTTTCTTGAATATTACACGACGTTGTCAGAAATGAACTATATTGAGAGATAAAAGACAAATTAGAGAGAATTTGGAAGGTAACTCTCATTACCTATCTGTTAAAGGTAAAGCTATCACTGTAACAGGCCATGAAGGCCCATAGGGTTGTGAGACATCGAGGCTCCAACATTTTCTGTAGACAGTCGGCTCATAGATGGCGGTAAAGTCAGACTCTGGCCACTCTCACCACTAGGTCGCAGAGACGATCAATTATGATATATTATAACAGATAATTATTCTTTAAATCACTGATTATACAGCATTTAGTGTGCAATTAATGTATAACTCTTAAATCCTAAGCGAGGTAAGAAAATTCAGATTTTCACTCATATATTTCGTCAATTAATCATTAAGAATTTGAAAGAGACCACTGGGAAGACCAAGGCGTAGGTGGGTGAATAATATTAAAATGGATCTTAGAGTGATAGGATGGGATTGTATGGATTGGATTGATCTGGCGCAGGATAGGCACCAATGGAGGGCTCTTGTGAACACGGTAATGAATCTTTGGGTTCAATAAACTGCTGGAAAGTTCTTAAGTAGCTGTAGAATTTGCGGCTCCTCCAGAAGGGCTCAGCTCTATGAGTAAGTAAGTAAATAACGTAAATTTATCTCGCATTTTATCCTTCGTTATCTAACCGGTTCTTTAAATAATTTTTGACAATTATGAAGTTCAGGAGAAGGTTTATTTTCTGGTTGAAGGGAACTTCCTATGTAATCAGCAGCTTACATATAAAGTGTGTCACTCCATTAGTAGGGGGAGAAAGACAGACTGTCTGTCAAACTCGAGTGAGTGAGTGAATCGATGTTCGGAAATTTTAAAAGCTGTCATTTAGATCCGTCATATCGATGGGGTCCGAACTTTAGCATTATTCATGATCCTTTGCTGATAGATCTCTGGAGCAAAACAAACACCGCCAACTGCAACTGATCAACATACAATAATACAGGTATATAGAATATGGGGGTTTTGATTATTGGATTTATTGACCATTTACAGGTCGTACTGCAAACAACTATAACACTATCGCTATTTCCAAACNCACATATACACGGTGCCAAATCCCAGAATACTGCTTTCTTCAACTATAACACTATCGCTAGTTCCACACTTTACAGTTCACTGCTACGCACACACTTGTGTCCTCAGTTTTCACTAGTCGTATCCTGGCAACGGATTTTTAACAGTCTCATTGTAATTACAGCACACATAAAGTCTTCAACTGAACTCGTTGTCAAGGAGCTTTTAATTATTGGATTTAATGACAACTTACAGGTCGTATTGCAAACAACCATAACCTACCGCTCTTTCCACACTTTACAGTTCACTGTTACACACACGCACACTAGTGTCCTCAGTCTTCACTAGTCATATCCTGGCAACGGATTTTTAACAGTCTCATTGTAACTACAGCACACATAAAGTCTTCAACTGAACTCAGTGCTATCTCTTCTCAATCATCTACCACCGCCTTCTCAAAAGACTCCCTTAACCTTTAAAGTACGAATTTGTTTGAACGGAATTAAATATAACGCTTTATTTTGTTATTTTAATCGATAATCGATTTTGTCGTCTTCCACCGTAATCACTATAATCGTTAGCAAGAATGTATATATGTAATTTAGCCAACTCAGTTCTGTCTCTGTCCACTTGATTATAGCTTGATGTTGGCTTAATGGTTGGTCTCTCGCTGAACAGACATGGAAATACACGGTTTGGCCCCTCCTACTTGTACTTAAGAATATTACTGCTTCAGCCTATACAGGTAGGAAATATACAAAAAAGTTACATAGTTTTAGACTGTTTTAATATGCACATTACATGGTTCTATAATTACTCTGTTACGGACCTAATTGCAGTACTTGGCGATGTATTATGAAGCATACATAATTGTGTGTCAATCCAGTGTGCAGAGTTTCCTTTATAAGTATCGGGCTATTCCTGTGACCAACTGTTTGTGTATTGTTATGGAACACGAAATTTTGTCACACGTATCAGAAATTGAAATTGTTTCTAAGGTCAAGAAATGGATGGTTTTTGTTGCGCAAAAGAAATGCAAAGCAATTTTGTAATGGAGAATATATATTTTTTTCGTCCAGTTCTTTGCGGCACAGTTTTATAGAGCTTGTTTTAAATTTACAATTTGGTGCAAATGTGGAATAAATTTTGAAAGATCAATGTTTAGTTCTTCTGAAATATCTTGAGTTGTTTTGCGTGTATCCGCTTCAATAATAACCTTCAATTGTTTGTCATCAATCGCAGGAGGACGTCCCACCACGCCGCCCTCAACTTCAAGGCTCTCAACTTAAAGCAGGCCAAATACTTTGTTGACATTGCGAGTTTTTCCGCTGCTTCGCTTCCTGTTTTGAACTCATACAAAAAAAAGAATATCTCAAATTTGCTGTTTATCCATCTTTCATTCGAGAGTTAAAGTTAAAAAACGTAAAGCTGTCCCTGTGCTTAACTAATTAAGCACCACGCCTTGAAGAAATATGGTAGAGTGGAGATGTAATTTGACCATTTTTAAACTCGAGAATAGATGGAGTTGTTAGCTTCACGCTTTTGTCACTTTACCCTCACGGATACACCTGCCGGTGCGCATTTTATACAGGGCTGGGTGGGTCCCAGAGTCGGGGTGGACGTTATGAGAAGGGAAAATTTTTGCCCCCCGGGAATGGAACTCTGACTTCTCGGGCTTCATGTCCGTAGCCCACTTCCTATACCGTCTGAATTTTACCTGTACCCAGACTGTGATTTACAGAGATGTCAGGGAATGAATAGTTTATTAAAGAACATATATAGAACATCTTAAAGGAGCCGGGATAGCTCAATCGGTATAGCGACTGGCTACGGGCTGGAAGACTGAGGGGTCGGAGTTCCAGTCTCGGTAGGGTCAAGAATTTTCTCTCCTCAGTGTCGTTCAGACCGGCTCTGGGGTCCACCCAATCTCCTATACAATGGGTACCGGGGGCCCTTTCCCGGGTGTAATGCGGTCTGGGCGTGAAGCTGACCACTCACCTCCAACTAGTGCCGAGGTCAAGAAAATGTGGATCTATAAATCCAATCCAACATACGCCTTCTTGATGTAGTGCTTAATCAATTAAGCACAGGGACAACTTTACTTTATAGAACACCTTAAAGAACTTACAAATGAGTGACAGAAATGGACTCACCATTGCTCGCTCATTATGTGTAATGAGCGGAAACGTGTAATTTGTAGTGAATTAAGGCTTGAACTTGCTAATGCCAATACCTGCTGTGTAAGTAATTCTAATGACAGTGCAGGGAATAAGGGTTTTTATGATTGATTACGATTAAAGTGATATGTAGGTGGTAATTAAATGATTGTAACATTTGCTTTCAATATGGACTGCAATATCAGGCTTCACTAACAGCACTTGGCGACGGCTGTAGTTATGACAAGACCTACAAGGCAAATACTCGTACACTGTACACGGAACTGAATCTCTTAGTTGGAATATGACTGCCTTTCAGCCATGTTTATTGTTTTCTTCCTTGGCACTACAGCCCCAGTGGGCCTAGGCCTACCTCCATGAACTCCGTTCACTTCGGTTTTTCTAGATCTTACACATTCGGTAGGACTCCTTGGGCGGGTGATCAGCTCGTCGCAAGGCCTCTACCTGTACACAAACACAGAAAAACGCACACA